CACTGACCCGGGTTTGTGCGTCCCCGAAGGAACTCAAGGACAAGATCGCCAGACAGGCTGCGGCCGCCCGCCAGTCCTCCCCTGGTTCCCCCTCCCCCCGTCCTCCTCGTCCCCTCCCGATTTTCTAGGCCTCCCAGATGGGGTCGGAGTAGATGGGGTCAGAGGATCGCGCCGCATCGCCGATGCATCGACGATGCGGCTAGATGTGGAGTCCGTGTTTCCCCACGCCGACGTCGCCGATGCGTCGCCAGCGTCGCCGATACATCGCCGATGCATCGCCGATGCATTGGAGACTGACTCGACTGACTCTCCCCCCCCAGTCCTCGTGAGTCCCCCCCCTCAGTCCTCCTGACTCTCCCTCCCCAGTCCTCCCGATGTTCCCCCTTCCTGAATCGACCGATGGGGCCTTTGCCTCGCTGTTGTTTCGTCTGCTCGGGCTCTGCACCCCCCCCCTGCTCCGCGTCCGTCTCCTCCTCCTCCTCCTCCTCCTCCTGCTCCTCCTCCTCCTCCTCCTCCTCCTCCTCCTCCTCCCAAGCCCTCCATAGTCGGCCGCGCTCTCTCGCGGCGGACATCGAACACCCCCCAAGCCATGTGCGTGTCCTCCTCCTCCTCCTCCTCCCCCTCCTCCCTCCACTGCCTCCTCCTCCTCCTCCTCCTCCTCCTCCTCCTCCTCCTGGCCCCCGAAGCTCAGACCGCTGATTCGGGCGAGGCAGACCACACACTGTACACCGTACGGCTTCCCTCCCTGCCAGTATATGATCAGCAACGGGAGCCCGCTCTCAGGCTGTGTTTTCTTTTTTCTCATATCATATTGCGGTTCCTTGGCTACGGCCCTGTGTCGGCGGGCCTCTTCAGGATGGAAGGGTACTGAATGAGGTTAACAATGTCGATGCGGTGGCCATGGCAGGCGCCAAGCACACCAGCGGCGCCGGGACGCTGAAGCGCTTCATTGCAGGCAGGCTGGTCATTGAGGCCCCCCCCGGCAAGGCACCGTACTCTAACCATTCGTGTGGGTGTGCGAGTGTACTACCACCTCGGGCGAAAGAGCGACATTCAATGCAGGTGGGGTAGTCCTCTACCGGGCCTTCGGACGGTGAGTAGCCGCACGTGTGAAAATGGGGGCTATGGACATTTTCCCCTTGAGTGTGTACTTCCCCCCTCAACCGACTGCACGACAAACCCGTGTTGTTGCGATATGGTTTTCTTTGGGTTGTTGCGATATGGCTTTCTTGGGTCTCATATATTCTAGATACGTTGCTGCCCGTATGCTGCACCCCTTGATCTACACGGGTTCAAACGACGGCATGGGTTTGCATTTCATTGGCGGGAACTGGGTCGAATGTGACGCGGTAGGATCTGGGAACAGGGAAAGGCTCCACAGAGGGAATGGTCGGCAATCCATAATGCTCTTGGCACACCCTTACCTCAGGGCTGCCAGCACTGCTGGGGCTACGGTGGTCTCGACCTCTTTTTGGCAACAACCTGAATTCTAGGATTGGCTACGTATGCTGTCCTCTTGGTATGCGTCATATTGTCCAGAGTTGCGGTTGCTTGAGGCGTCTGAGGGCCAAACTGCAGGTCAACCAAGGTCACCCCCCGTAGGACCACCTTCCAGTTGCCCCCACCCTGAATTACAATAAAGGGGACCAGCGTCAGGAGGAGGAGAAGAAGACGGCATCTGGGGATTTGTAAGTTATGATGCATACGTTGTGAAAGGGCCCTGGGCGTTTTGAGTTCCATGAGGCACTCTACGCAGAGCTCCAGCTGTCGCACCCGCAATGGCTGCGTGACCACGCATCCCCAGACGAGATTCTGGAAGTTCTAGAGACGGCGTTGCGAGCTGCAGGAGAGCAAGGTGTTTCTAATGAGCAGACTGTGGACCCAGAGTACCTGATGTATTCTAAGTGGCGCCGCAGGCTACTGAGGGAAAGAGCTGAACTACGCGGTGCCGAGCTTTTCCACCGCTAAGGGCATCGATTGCATCGGCCAGCAGCTCCGAGAGATTTCCACGAGGTTGTGTAAGCCGAGAAAACAAGCGACAAGGAGGAGGAGGGCTAGGCTGACGGAGGAGTCCACTGAACATTTGAAGTCTCGACGAGTTGCCATGGCCGCGTCCGCGGCGCGCCGACCGCTCCGAGCAGGCACGGGCCGAAGCGACGAGATGGCAGACTCGCGCTTGCTCGCGCGCCCTCGGCATCGGCCTGGCTAGCCACGCGGGGAAAGGAGGGGGGAGACGGGGGCGTGAGTTGTGATTGGGAACGTGGCGGGGGGAGCACGATGACGACTGCGCCTACGTTGACAACGACGAGGCCAATGACCTCGTCAAGACAGATATCTTCCTGATGCGCAGGCGCGTGCGCTCGGCCCCCAATCGACGAGAAGTGCAATTTTTGTTGCGCGCCCCTCGAGCTCTGGCGCATGGTAACGCGCCCCAAGTGGCGAAGAACCCGCGCGCAGGGCATTTCATCTCCTCGCGGGCCCCCGACGCGAAAGCGACAGCTTTCTTGTTGTTATTGGGCATTAGTCTGCGCGAGAAGCGCACGCGCAGCGCTGGGACTGCAGCCACGCGCCCCCCCCCCCCCCCCACACACACCGCCCCGCCCACCACCCACCACGCACGCAGACACACACACGCACACACACACACACACACGCACACGCGCACGCACACGCACACGCACACGCACACGCACACGCACACGCACACGCACACGCACACACACACACACGCACGCGCACGCACCGCCCCACCCACCCACCCGCGCGCGCACGCACGCGCGCGCGCGCGCGCGCCAGAACCACGAGCACTGCCCACCGGGTAAAAGAGTGGTTCATATCCTTCCTGTCCCTGGCTGCGTTTCTTGTTCATAAGTCTACGCGCGCGTCAGAACATGCTGACTATGGTTTGTTCAGGGGAAGGAGAAAAGAGACGGCTACCCACGCCGGCGGCAAGTGGCCGCTGATGAACGCTGCCGGATCGGAGCACGTGTCGTCTTCGATATGAAGAGGCCGCGGTGGCTCTACCTGCTGGGGAGGGCGGGGGACTTGCTCTGAGGCCGCGGTGGGAGAGGCTTGGCGGGGGCCCATGCATCGCTGAAGCTGTCAACGGGGCCTTCCAGCCACCCGTGGCTGAGCGGCGCAGCGACGCGCAGAATTCCGACCCGTGCAGCCACGAGTTGTTTGCGAGATGGGCAGAGTCGAACATCGCTTTGAGCTCCTTCAAGTATGCTGCCGACATTCAGAATTCTGCCCTGGTAGACTTCGATTCCTCCCTGTCGCAGCTTGCGCAGAAGATGGAGCAGTTGGACTCATACCTACATGCTAGACTGGAGCCCTGCGGGTTCGGCCAGAACATATCTCATCAGGGGTTTTGGGATGTGCCTCGGTGAGCGCAGCGCACACATTGCGCAGACTTTCTAAAGCAACAGGAGTGGAGCTCGAGGGCTCAATGCGAGAACAAGTTCGCTACCTGGGTCCCCACGTGGCTCTTTGAGGCAGCGCTAACCGTGAGATCGATCGACGTATCGCCGCTTCTCTGACGTCGTTTCGTTCGCTGGGGTTGGCCTGGCAACTGGATCTCCCATGGGACTTCAAGCGTTTATTACTGCAGGCTGTCGCCTACAATGCACTGCGCAGTGGCCTGGGGGCCATTGCTTTGTCTGAGCGAGAATATGCGCGGCTGGAAGCCGCAATGGCACGCTTCTGCAGGATGACGATGGCTGGCAAGGCCGCGGACCGGGGCGGAGTTCACCCACGCGCGATGATGAACAGTTCTCTATTGGTGCACTGAAAACTGCGTCGTCCTTCTCTGGAGCCTCGGATACGTCGAGCTCGTCTGGGCCAGAGCTGGGCCAGGAGGCCCACCCGCCGCCTCCAGATCTTCGGGGCCCTCTTCGGCGCGCTAACCCTGGGATGCAAACAGTAAACCCCCCGGCGATATCGTTAGCACAGAAAATAAAATAAATAATTATTTTGGGCGGGCCCCTCCGGCGATATCGTTAGCACATAAAAAACAATAAAATAATTAATTAATTTGCCCCCCCCAGGCCCGAAGCTGGCGGCAACGCGAGGCGACAGCCTGAAGAACCAATGCGCACGAACGCGGGCTCGCGTGGACATAAGCAATCCCTATGGCGACCGCACTAGGGAAATTGATTAATTCAGGGGATCCTATGGGAGAGTCCACGGAGAGATATCGCAGACGGATTCCGCGAACCCCCCCGCGATATGTTAGCACATTTATTGAAAATAAAATAATCCACCGGCCCCGGATGTCGATGTGATGCTCCCTTAAGCAATGGGGCATCAAAGGGATACGACCGGAACCTCAAGGGACCCCCAGAATAACATCAAAGGAACACCAGAGGAGTCTCAAAGGAGTCCCAAAAGAATCACAATGGAAACGGCAAGGAATCTCAAAAGAAGCCAATCGGAGTATCAAAGGAATCTCTGGGGAATCTCACAGAAACGCACAGAATCACAGGAAGCGACTCTGGGCAGGTGTGCCTTGTCGCTGGGCTCGGGGGAACAAGGGGACCGGGCATTCAGAGGCTTGTGGAAGCCTTTCTGGATGCCTCCTGGGAACCTCCGGGGACCTCCCCTCCGCGGACCTCTGGTGACCTGCGGGGGATATCGCTTCCGCCCCGGCCCCGGTGCCAGAAGCGTTATAATTTCCTCTGATGAGGGGGGGGGGGGGGAGGGGGGTTTACTGATTGCTTCCCAGGGTTACCCTTCGAGCAGGAGGGGCCTCTTCTTCCATCTGGAGACCTCGTTCCGCACGCGCGCCCCCGGGCCCATCGAATACGAGAAGACCTTCTTCGTAATTCTAATGTTTCGGATGAAGAAGTGCGTGCTACTCGGAGTTTCAGGTTGTCCATGGATGAAGCGGCCGCCTTTCTTCGCTTCCGTGGATGCCCACGCTTGCAGATCGAGGCAGTCCACCGTCGACATCCCTCTTCCCGAGCATGTTCCGCCTGCGCCACACATGAGCCAGGGGTCTCGGAGGAAGCCCAGAGCGCTGACCATCAGTGGAGGCGCTGGCCCCCCCAGGAGGAAA